AAATAGAGTTCAAGTGTTATAAGGGCTGCAAGTAACTAGTGGGTTTAATGAGAAGGGAGACATGGATAAAAGCAGTTTTAGTAGAGAGAGAGAGAGAGAACCCTGAGCCAGACTGCAGAGGTTGAGGTATAATGGAAGTGAGGGAGTAACAGAGAGTAGAAGTAACTCTGTCAAGCATTTCATCTTTGCAGAGATAATAGAAGAGGAGATATGATTACAGTGGCTGAGTTAAGAGAGATTACTGTTATTTTTTCAATGAGAAAGTTGACTACATTTGATGCTGTTGAGAGGGGTGAGTAGGATTTAAGATATCAGAGAGAAAGAGGGTAAGGTGTGAGAATGCATGAAATTCCCAAGAAAGCAGGGAACATGGTGTGTATCTGAAGTATAGGGTGGGGGGGTGGAGGGTGGAAATGAACCTTACATAGCCTAGAAGTACTTCTCCTTTGATAATAGAAGAACCAAGGAAAGGATGAAAGTTAGTTTATAGGTTTGGTGTCAGTAGTTGAATGGTTTTCCAACTGCTATATTCTATTTTCTCTAAATAGTACTAACAATTATGAACACTTGCAATATTCCAGGCATTTTACAGTCCTATTGAGGGGTTGTTCTATTATTATCACCATATTAAAGTTGAGGAAAGGGAAGCTTGGAAATAGGCCAACTAATTTGCCCAAGATCACAAGGACCCCAGTTCATACTGGGTAACCTGGCTCTGGAGCTACAATCTTAATCACTACTTCATCTTGGAGTTTGTCTTCACTCTCTGAAAAGGAGAAGATTAGATTGGAAATGCTCTTGTGTGGGACAACTGAGAATGCCTTCTGAGAAATTGCAGATCATTTTCCAAGTGGCATTGGGGGCTCTGGGGAGGCTGGAGACCATGTTTTGTTGGCCCAAGCAAGAAGTTTTGAAAATGTTCCGGGTCAGGAATGAGCCAAAACTATATTGGCTTTCCAAGTAAGGGAAGAGCTCCTTTGATGGGAAATCCAAAGAACAGAAACTGTTCAGTGCTGGCGCTTGAGTTTATTTTCTGATTATTTTTAAAGGAAAGGAAGAATGTGTTCTTCTCCAGAATTGCCCTTGGAGAAAAAGTTGGAGAGAGATTCTAACCGTCAAATTGGCTTTTGAAATGCGAACATGAATAAAGAGGACATAGTAGACCTATTGACAGAAGAATTGAAACCAAGTCATTAGGAAATGGTGGAATGAAATTGCAGACTAATTAACCAAAATATGCAACTTTAATTTTATAAGAACACCATGCTTCACAGAATACTAGATCTGTCAATATTGTTTTTATGCCTAGAAGTCACTTAGGAACATGCCATGAGCCAAAATCTGTGGCTCAAACTTCAAGTCTCAACTAGCTGGTCAGACAACCTTATTCAATATCCACACTATCCTATACATACATATTCATTGTCAATAAACTCTAGTTGATTGACTGGTTGACCAAGTGACTATAGCTTTTCCCAAGCACAGGCTAGACTTTTTAAAATTGAAATGTGATTTAAAACTAACTATTACAAACTTGGTTAGTACCTAAGAATTATTCATATATTTATTAGAAATAAAAAAATAAAATACACAATAAATTTTCAAAATGTACTAACCATGTTTACATAGGCTACTAACCATGTTTACATAGTCAAATGCTGGTCTGATATAATGGAACCAGAAGGTCACCAGAGACAAAAGAGTGACCAAAGAGTAGTTGAGTTTGCATGTGGGTGTGTGCAAGTCAAGTCATACAGGGAACTGACTCTCTCATAAATGATAAATGCTGAAATACTGGTTGCCACCTCGGATTTAGGAGTCCCTTACAGAATGTTCAACCCATTGACCTACTGGGGCCAGATGAAAACAACCAAATAGCAAACATTACTAGGAAGAGTAGGGGCAAGCAGGAAGATGGTTCCAATTTCCACCATTTTCTGCACACTTGAAATTCTACTCATTGTGCTCATTACCTTCAGAAAACATCAGAATGAGTATATGAATACATTTTTACCACTTTTTGACAGATTTCTGCAGAAAGGGCCATAATGAACCTAGTACGCAGAGACTGCCTAAGGCAGAGACTGTTTGGAAGGGATGTACCATAAGGGACAGCAGCCGAGGTAGACAAGCAGAATCTCTGTTGGGAGGAGTGACAAGGCACAGGGAAGGAAACTTGTGCAGAGGGTCAACTAAGAAGGATAAAGTCAGAATGGTAATGGTGAGAAAATACAACCAGGACTAAAGGATGAGAAGAAGTTGGAACATTTTGGGTCAAGGAAAAGACTCCAGGACCACGTTCATGGACTCTAATTATCCTTTACAAAGCATATGTGGTAGGTGGAAGGACAAGTGTAAAGAGAAGGTCAGGGCCATGTTGGGTTACTAAGGAAAATGGGTGTTTTCAGTTTATTATCCTAACATAGGAGAGGTGAAAACCATGTCTTCCTAGAAGATGTACCTTATAGCCTTTGTCAGCCACCAAGGCCTTGGGAGAAACAAGGTGCTACGCATGTATAGAATTTATTATGGTAAGCAGAATTGTGAACTTCTAGAACCCAGGACACACCCTTATTCAAATATGGAGAGCAAACATCTTTGAAGTCATTGCAAATTCCTGGGCTCTGCGTTTATTTAGATTCCCCGTACTCATGCTTCCTTCTTCGTAGGAGAGATAACAGGAACAACTGAAAAGTCTTTTTCTTCCAGAATGATTGCATGCTTTTGGTACCTCTCACGTGGAGAGAGAAACACTGGCTCTTTTTCACACTAGTAAGCTTCCCCATCTGTCTAGTTTGTGGTGAACTGTGTGTAAATCAAACTGATAAAAATGTCCAATGGTTCTCTAAGACCCCTATGAGAAATCCATTAACTGTCCTCAGCAAGAGGAACTGTTAGGTTACAATGACTATATTAGGACTCTTTATTCCTGATTTATGTCTGCTAATAAGGATAATCATAAAATGATGTGACATCTGACATTAAGTCTTCTATCCTATGAAATAACCTCCAAATGTTATGGTTTTAAATTATTTGGCCAAAGGCTGTGGTCATGATTAATTTCTTCTGCGTATTTCTCTTCATAGGCATTTTCCCATTGTCAAACATTATAAGGAAACAGTCCTTTTCTTGAGTTTATACTATTTTTATAATAAAACTACAGTCAAAAGAAAAAAACTAAAACAACAACAACAATACAAAACTTCACAAATATTTAGATACATAAAGGAATGATCACTTCTTAGGGAAAATCCTCGTGTTTAGATGAACCTTCCTAATCTTTGTCATTTGCAGTGATCAATAACTTCTTACATTTTTCATGATGCCAACGTTATAAACAGAAACTAGGTCCTTCTGGACATGCCATTCAGTGTGTGCAGACACTGAGAATACCATCGGTTTGCACCAATGCACAGCCTGCTGACCTCTTAAGATATCAGCACATATTTCCATTACCTCACAGAGACCCCTTGCTCTGGGGGTTGACAGCTATACCGCCAATTCTAATACCATTAAACATAAACTCTAAATTCTCAAGAAAAGCCAAGATTTTCAACAATTGTTTCTCATATTCTGAGTTCACCAGTCCCAATTCCCTGGTTCCTGTAAGCCTAAGTTGTGGGCCAAGTAGAACTAGGAGAGTGAGATAACCAATTAGGATGTTAGACTTCGGTTTCAAATATTCTTTTTAATTCATATGACCAACATTTTCTCACCCGATACTCGATAGTCCTTTAGTTGGAGGGGCAGTGTATGTGGTAATGAGGGCCACAGCTTTTGAGCCATGCCATCCAATACAAATATGAGAACCATGTATATAATTAAAATTTCTAATAACCACACACACACACACACACATAAATAGAGGGAATTAAATTCTAAGTCATATATGTAAGTCAATATATTCAAAAGGTTAGTATTTCTACCTGTATGGATAAAAACGCTATGGAGATATTTTACATTTCTGTTCATTTTTGTGTTATTCTGCGATTGCTTTAAAGGTATATAGTCCTTTACAGCAGTTTGAGATAAGGATCTCAAGGAGAAAATTACTCTTATTTGGTAATCACGCTATAAAAGCAGAGAAAGGTAGAAGATAGCCAGTCAAGTAAATCTTAAATGAGTGCATTGACTTTTCCATGGGCGGGGCTTTCTTTCTTTCCTTTCTTTTCTTTCTAGGTGAGGGTGGGGGATGGAGGAAGCTTCGTTTTGACTGGGAAGGCTAAGGGGATGAGGAGGTTCTTTCTTCTTTTTTCTTCTTTCTTTCTCTTTAGTCTTCTGTCTTCTCTCTCTTCTCTCTTCTCTCTCTCTCTCTCTCCTCCTCCCTCTCTCCCCCCCTCCTCCCTCCCTCTCTCTCTCTCTCTCTCTCTCTCTCTCTCTCTCTCTCTCTCTCTCTCTCTCTCTCTCTCTCTCTCTCTCGCCAGAGTGTCCTGATCTCACATCTGACCTCACATTTAAAGCCGCAGCCTGGAGCACAGTGCAGCCATTCCCAGCTCTCGGGGCACAGCCGGTCTGACCTTGAGCAGGTGGGGGTGCTGGTGTTGGCTGGGACAGCAGGATTCCAGCCGACTTCAGAGCCCCTGTGATCCATGTGGCCTGGCACCACAAAGACAGGCTTGGGTTTGTTTCGAGGTAAGCAGTCGCTGGCTCTGCATCCGAACACTCCGGAAGGTGCTGGAGAAAACCTGTCTTCAGGCTGATGTGCTGATCAACCCCGGAGTGTGTGTGTGTGTTGGGGGGGAGGGGGGTGGTGCAGGGGGCAGAACCTGTTGCCAGAGGACCTGCTGCCGAAGAATCCCAGACTCATCCACAGGAAGGTGTCCATTGGGATGAAGTCACCCAGGAAGTGTCCCCAGTGCAGAGCGCCCGGCATGAACTTTCTGGCTTCATCCGGTGCACTGTCAACCTTTGGCTGGAAACATTCTCGGCGCCTTGGGGACGGCGATGGCTCTTTCGGAACGGGCCGGTCTGGGAAAGGACAATCAGTCGATGCGAATGGGATAGAAAGCACAGCGTGTGCGAGTTCTGCGCTGCGGGGCCTGCAGAAGAGGAGCATGTCAACGGAGCCAGGGGAGCCAACCTGCATGGCGGGGGGGTGCTCTTCTCTGACACCCACCAGACCTCGGATGGGAAGGTCATGGCCGTGGGGGCTGTTGAAGCCCACCTCTATGCGCTCTTTCTGAAAGGACTCTGCCTCGACCCTTCCAAACTCCCTAAGCCGCTGAGTTCGCCAGACTGGCCCCGGAGGAAGACCCTCTTTGCAGACATCCTTGCCAAGGAGACGCAAACCGAATGGTGCAAGGTCTTTGGAAAGCTGGGCCCTTGTGTGACCCCTGTTTTGACAGCCGAGGATATTTCTCTTTTTAAAAATATTTCTTATTGATTAAGGTATCACGTATTTGTCCTCATTCCCCCCATTCCCATCCCAAACCCCTCCCCATGCATGCCCCCACCCCCCGGTTGTCCATGACCACTGTTAGGCTCAAATGCATGCACACAGTCCTTTGGTTGATCTCTCCCCTTTCCCCCCACCCTCCCCTACTTTCCCTCTGAGGTTTGAGAGTCTGATCAATGCTTCCCTGTCTCCGGGTCTGTTTTTGTTCATCAGTTTATGTTGTTCATTATGTCGAGGATATTTCTCAACTTGTAAAGGAGGTGATGGGTACTTCTTTTATCTCAGATCAGCTGCATGTGTGGCCCCCGTGCCAGTTCCATTTTTTCCCCAAATCCCTTGCTTCTGTCCCTTCCACGCAGAGTGTGGTCTTAGGAGAAATTTTCAGAGGATGTGGGTTTAGCAAAGAAGAAATAGCCGAGCTCCATGTTTCGGGCATCATTAAAAGCAGTGAGTCAACGGCGAATCTGTAACATAGAACTGTCAAATGCACCTGTTTTGTTAAGTAACCCAGGGAGCTTAGGCAGGTGTGTATGATCTGGGGAAATCATGAGTGCTTTCTATTCGGGAGAGTTCCTTCCCATGTTAAGATGAAACCTCATCTGCTCAGAAAATTTAAAGAATGCTGGCATGTATGAGTTGTCAGCCTTCAATAATTCTTATACCGTGGACTGTACATGTAGTGTCATGACTGATTATAATCCAAATCAGGGTTATATGTGATAGGTATTACGCCTAAAGTCATTTTAAAATATTGTCTCATGCATGGAAGAATGGGACAGAGTGTGGAATCTCCGAGGGAAGGCAGGGGAGGGTGGGCGGGTGGAAGGTAATCAATCAAAGACCTTGTATGCATATATGCATAACCTATGGACACAGACAATAGGGTGGTGAAGGCCTAGGGTGGGGGTTGGGGGGCATAAGAGGGGCAGGCTGGAGGGGATCAATGGGTGAAAAAACGGGGCATATGTAAGACTTTCACCAATAAAGATTTTATATATATATATATATATATATATATAAAAATAATTGTCTCATGTCTAGAAATTGACACAAGTTCCCACATGATCACACTTATATAAAAAAAAAAGATAACTATTTTCTTGGGTGTGGACTGGGGGGGGAGGGAGAATATAAGACTTAAAACTTTATGATTATGATGTATTACAAGGTGGGGCAGTGTGGAAAGAACACTGCTAGATGGCTATACTTCGCAAAATGTAAAAACATTTCCTTTAGGACTCAAAGTCCGAACAAACATGCTCACTGCAAAGCACAAGGAATTCCGTTCTTTGACATGGGTGATGTATATTTTCCCCATGAGTGGTCCCTTTTAAACATCTTTTTTCTTCCTTCTTTCCTCTCTCCCTTCTTTCCCTCCCCTTCCTCCTTCCTCCCCCCCCACCCTCCCTCCCTCTTCCTCTCTCTCTCTCTCTCTCTCTCTCTCTCTCTCTCTCTCTCTCTCTTTTGTTGTCATATAAATGACCTCATTTCACAAAAATGATCTCTGCTTTCTAAATCAAGTTTCTCTTTGTTCCTATGGAATTTTAACTTTGTTCTTTACCTTTCTGGGCACTGTTCAAGCAAACAAGCTTCTTTTCCTTCAAACTCTAAGTGCCTTTTAATTTTGATGGATCTTGGGACTTTAAATAAAGCGTCAGTGGATTAGCTTCTATAAATAGAGATAAATAAAGTTCATAAGCCAGATAAACCTATGTTTATTCAGAAGGGGCTCAGACACAGGTAAGTAGACTTGAGGCCACGCTATAGTGTCTGGCAGACATGCTCCTTGCAGACTAATATACTGAAGTGTCCTCAGCACTCTTTCAGGCCTTCAGCTGGGGGCACATCCACATGTCTAGCCTAAAAGTTTGTGTTTGGCATCACCACCCTTCACTGCAGAGAAAAACCACACCCCCTCTGGGTCAGAGCCACAGGGAGCAGGCAAGGCCTGGCTTTGGCAGTCTGGGAAGTTCCTGTGAGAGGAAGAAAGGTTGGAAAAGCAGGGAAAGCTGGGGATGCACTGACCAAAGCCAGCGAAACACTGGCTCCCTCGGCTCAAGTGCCCTCCGAGATTTTAATGACACATTGCCTCAGATTTGGGATTAATTGCAATTATAAATTTAATGTATTTGTCACAGTCCCAAGTGCATAATAAAGGCATTGAAAAAGTTAGCTATTATTACTCAAGTACAAACTTCAACACATCTTGTTTTTTTGAGAAGCAATGAACTTGGTAAAAGTCAACATTTGTCTATAAATTGTTTCCTCCTTCATCAAAGAGATGGGGACTGAGGAATGGATATATCACCACTGAAAGAATCCACATGAGTGATGATGGACGCTCCTAAGAGTGTCACGTAAGTCAATAAGAAGGTAAACAAATAAAAACTTAACTTTCTGCAATTTTTTCAAAATCATAATTATTTCTTAAAGTGAGGAGCATATGCTTAATACTAAAACTTAAAGTTTACTTTAGCAACAGAAATCAGTTCAATATCACATCATCATGAACACTTATCTGCACTCCTTTCCTGTCAGGTAGATGCCTTGAATGGCTTGCATGTGCCAATCTATGAATGCCCCACCTGCTTAAGTGCTTGGCACTTTTCCTTCCTGTTCACTACACAAGAGCCCCCTTATCACAGCCAAAGCCTTCCCCACACACAATTCCTGGTTCTCCCAAATTTGCCACTTATCATTAGACAGGCCCATTCTCAAGCTATAGCATTGATAAGAATCATATGAGCTGTTTGTTAAATATAGGTTCCTGGGATCCTACTATAGATACTGGATGTAGTAAACTGTAGTGGAGCCAGGACTCTGTTTTTGAACATATTACCAGGGCGATTCTCACATGAGTGGCCCGATGACCACTCTTGGAGAAACACTGTCTTAAGAACATCTTTGCTTGTCCATCTTTGCTACCCTAAGTGTGGGCCACAGGCAGCAGTATTTGCAATACCTGGAGCTGGTTGGAAATAAAGAATCCAGGTCCCTGAGACTTTCTGAAACAGGATCTGCCTCTTCACAAGATCTCCAGGTGATTTGAGTGCACATTCAAGCCTGAGGTGTTGAATGGATCACACAAAAGCAATATGTCAACCATATATTTCGATAAGGACTAGCTATCATTGCTTTGAGGCTTTAATTAAATCTTGCAGTTCTTACTGAGAAATAGTATGTCCTCCACAATTCTCCAATTACCTTCTCCAGAGCATCAAAAATTTTCACTGAGATAATTTTATCCTTCCTTTTGCAAAATCATCTTACAAAGCACCAGGCTCACCAGGGGAAGAATGTGCTCTTTTCAATCCAACTGAATTTTCTTAAATGTTGCATTCTATGTATCAGGTCAGTGCTCTAAGTTCACACACTTCATTGGTTGGCTTCAGGGTCATGGTCCAAACACACATCTCATCTTGTCTGATGAAATCACAAAGTGCTTCTGGTGTCTCAGGGATGAAGCGCCTCAGCTCCTGGGAGGGACCCGGATCTGCTTGGCCAGGGCAAGCCGGGACATCTGTTCCAGGCACGACCCACCCTGCTGGCTGAACCGAGTGGCGGGGGCGTTTAGGATAAAGCATTGGGTCTTCATCAGAAGACTGCTGCGGCCATCAAGGATGTCTGCAGGACAGGAATGCGGAACACACCCACAGGAATAATACACGCTGTGAAAAAATGATCATTAATGAATAGTGGGCCAGAAAGGCCCACAGGCCAGCTCAGCAGCTGGCTTTTCTTCTGCTCGTTTTTTCTAACTCACTGGAAATAGACTTCAGAGCATTTCTGGAAGAACATTTTCACTGTCAGAAATAGTCTAGAAGAATAAGCCGAGCAGCTCACATACTGAAAGAGACCAGAAAGGCAGAGACAACCCAGGGAAGTCTGACTTTTGTTCCAAAGGCACTGGGGATCCTTTACGTGTGTTTTAATCATAAAGTAATTTTCTATAAAATGAAACTTAGTATTTGGCATTTTGCTCCTCAACCCCACTTAAAATTCTCTTCACTCGTACCTATTACATTATAGGGAACATCCATGAGGCCACAATCATGAGCAAAGATAGAGCAAGTGCCTCAAAGACTGGTGGCTTGGGGTCTGGGCCACCTACGCATGCGATTTACTGAATAGCTCCCTTCTCCAACCTGACCTCAAATGTACCATTTCCATAGTATGACATATTCCTGCCGTGTCTATTGGACCTGATGATTTGGTCTTTGCTAGGACCCTTCTCTTTTCCATTGAAATAGCTGTATCCAAATTTGGCAGTTTTTATGAAGTGAGAAAGTCACAAAATAGTTTATTAAACTATGAGCTAATCACCGACAGGATTATATTGGGCAAAGCTCCAACCCTGTGGCATGCTGGGAGCACCAGGCAGGGAAGGACACTGTGCTGGAGTAACAGAGAATGAGATGGAGTTGGGAGGAGTATGTGATTGGGGGAGGGGGGCGGGCAGTAGGGAGGGAGGAACACTAACTGGAATAGATAGGGTGGGGGAGATGGTGAACTTGAATCTGGTCCATTTGGGGATAGTCACCCAAGTGGTTGACTCCAAGTCTCCTCTATGTTAAATCCATCCTCTCTTGTGTATTCTGGTGTCTTAATAATCTTAAGCATGACAAAATGTGTAATTTTGAAATCAAACTTTTAAATACTTTTTTTAAAGTAACTGGTTCTGGGAAAAGGGAATTTGGAGCTGAGCTGCTCAATATTGAGCCAGGAGTCCTCAGACCACTGGCCAGGACCTGCAGCCAGCCACTGAATAGTTGTCAAGGAAGGGAACAACAGATTTAAAAATGACTAACAGTCCTCCTCATAGCCAACCCATACCCAAAAGTGAGTGATTTATTTCCCAGGTACCAGGGAGCAATAGTTAGGATACTTTTGAGGATCTTATGGACCAGGAATCTCTCTCACCAAAGGGTTGAAAATCTGGACCCAACATACTTGGCTACTCTGAAAAACAGGCCTTCAGAGGCCAAGGAACTTGTTACCAGGGAAGTACACACTCAGTGTCTCAATGTTGTTGAATCCCAGGTTCAATTCTGGTCAAGGGCACATGACCAGTTGGAACTGGTCCTTAAACATGTAGTATTTATGTGCTGGGGTGAGTGATTCCCTTGTGCCCAAGCAGCTAGCTGCAGCCCCATTACACACAAGCACACATACACACACACCACACACACACACACACACACACACACACACACACCTCCTCCTGCCCTGTCCTGTTTGCCAAAGCCATAAGTTTAGCTTTCTTTCTGTTTTCCTCACTGCCCACTGTTCAGATTCCTTATGAGATAGACTTTTTGTGCTAAATCTTAATCAATTTCACTACAACCTTTGAGTGGGCATTGGAATCACCTAGAGAGCTTATTACAACGTAGACTCTCCCTTCCCCCAACACTGACTCAGTAAGGCTGAGGTGGGCCCCAGGATTTGCAGGTCCCAGGTGAGGCTGGCTGCTGATGAACTGCAGACCAACTGCACTTGAGAGCCAAGATGTGGCTGGCTACTCAGCCAACAAATACTACTGGGCTTTAATTCTGTCACTGTAGATACTGGGGATAAAGAGAAATGAAGTGTATATTCTAGCTGAAGCAGTGGATGTTAAATAGTTGCATTCATAATCATTTTACTACAGTTGAGATGAGAAAATTGCTAGATGTGATGTCAGCAGTTAACAAGGGACTTAAGGATAGAAGAGAATGCAACCTTGAAAAAGTATCATTTCACTTGAATTATGAACAAAACATTTATACTTTTCATTCATTCATTCATT